TATGTGTAGTACTTAAAGAATTGCAAAATTAGTTTCAGTACAAAGTTCTGACATAGCCTCTTCAATTGGATGACTCTTCAGGGTTACCATCAGCCGCCATTAGTATTTTGTTTACGAGTTCATGAAGATAGTTCTCAAAGTAGAATAGACGATAATGACAGCAACTCAATGCCAGATATTAGTGGAGGATGAGAATATCTTTTCTCCTTTAGACATTTTTCCTTTTGGAGGCGGAACTGCTGATGTATGGGATGAGGAATGGGGCATGTCTCGCACAAAAAAGTATTGATATTTTCTCTTAACAATTTGATATAATTTGAATAAACAGAAGAGGGAAGAAACATCCATGTTCTGTCAGTTTGAAGAGAAATAAGAAAAGAGATCCCTCTCCAATTTAGTGTCAGCTCGATGGAGAATTTTTTTTTCTTCTCAATGGAGTTTGAGTGTCCTTAGAATTTGTCCCCTTTACACTTCAACCGGTAACTTGTATCTGTTCTGCAACAACAAATGCAGAAGTTATTCGTTTATACTTGTAGCATTTGACATCTGTGTTTAATTTTAGGGTCATTAGTGTATTGGTAATATGTGATGATGCAGTGTTGGAACTTTTGGCTCGGACCTGAGGTTCTAGCTATTCATGTTTTGTTAACTTTTATTCCTGTTCAGTTACCTTGGGATGTAATGCCGAAAATTATACAGACACGTGCATGTTGATAAGAGCTGGCTCGTAGTAAGTTGAAGACCATGCTGGTGAGGTCGGTCCTAAAAGGGCTACCTCTTGGTGGGTTAACAGTTAGCCGAGCTGAGCCTATTAGGGAGCCCGTGAACCTCCATCTTTTTTTTTAACAACTTTTTTACATGTATTTATATAATTAAATTAATCTCAAAACTTAAAATATAAACATATAATTCATTTTTAATAGTTATTTTATTAATATAAAAATGATAAAACAATAAAGAAAGTGAAAAATTAAATTTAGAATCAAAGTTTCTAGCAAAATATGAAGGTGTATTAAACTGAGTAAAAATGATCCTTTTTCTTATTAAAATTAAAATAAAAATTATAAAAAAAATTTTAAAAGAAAAAACAAGTATCTCATGAGTTGGCATTTACGGGCTAGGCCGTGACCCAACTCGTTTTGTGGGTTAAGCCAGCGGTATTATCACGTCTGAAAATGACCATTTTGCCTCTTTGTAGTAATACTGAAAAGTATTGTGATTATGTGATAAAAATAAAAAAGTAGGGTGTAAACTTTAAAGAGTTCCTTCATAATTAATGAAAGCAAAATTAGTAAATTTCTAAGAAAATGACAAGTAAGAATCTATAGAAGTATTGAGTCTCAGCTAAAATCTAGGAATGCATTATTTCCTTTCATTTAACTTAATACAAGTATAACAAATTACCCAATCTTGATATAATGTAAAATTTATATTTAACATGAAAATTCTGATAAATCAGTGTAATTCCTGCACTTTTTGTTTGAATTCTTTCGTAACTGCCTATTTATGTTATACTTCTCCGATCCTTAATATAAGACATATTTAACTAATTTGATTAGATTAAGGAAATTAGGTAAGTTAGTTAATTATAAGAAAAGTGACATTTTTCCTAAACACCCATAATCATCTTTCTTAATACCTCTCTCCCCTCTTCTACTTGATTATGGTTGAGAGAGTATCTATAGGGGTAATTTAGATAAAATTGATAAATATAAGAAATATGTCTTATATTTAGGACCAAAACCAACTCAAGAATTAGGTCCTATATTAAGGACCGGATGAGTGTTATTTATAAGCTCATTGATAATACCATTTATTTCTCATTCTATGAAATGAATGAGACATGAGAGAATGAGAAATTTTCTTTTATTATACAATTTATAAAGAGCATATGAGAAATAATGAGTAAAAATTTATGGGTTAAGATACACCTAACACCTCAAAGTGTTTTGTAATACATCCAGCACGTTAAAATATTTTTTAGGTGCATCTATAAAATATTATTTTTGTCCTGATGTTGGATACACAAAATATTTTTAGATGCTAAATGCATCTCAACAAAATATTTTACTGTACTAGATGCATATAAAAAGAATATTTTAGATTACTAAATACACCACAAAATACGTTAAGATATTGGATGTACTAAAAAATATTTCAGGATGTTAAACGCACTTTAACCATAATACATTAATGTTCTTTAGTTTGGGATCAAACGTTTTGATAGATCCCTGCTTGTAGTCTTCTCCATTCATCACTCGCCCCTTCTACTATCTATCATAAAATTCATTAGAATTACGTATGGCTCCGCTATCCATAATAGAACACGATGGCAACACGGTGTCACAAAAAAAAGATACATATGATAATTGTATCTTATCTCTGCCATATCATTGCAGTAGAGATAGAACCAAATTTTTGCAAGTCATAATCCATCGTTAGAGTTAAATGCTTTTCTATGACTCCTTGTCCACTCTCCGAAATGCTAAACTTTGTTCATTCAGACCTACCAGGTAATAGCTTTTACAATACACGAGCCTTGAGAAATAAATAGGCCAGTTAATCAATTTTCTTGTTCAACTAACCAGTCTGGTCCAATTTTTATCACAAGTTATAACCAATTCCCAGTTACATTCTGATTCCAAACATTGTCCAAAAACAACATTGGCAGCAATGTGTATGAGCTGTTCAAATCATATGTACCACGCTTTCAACTCTTATTGTGAAAACAAAAAAGGATGGTGTACTTCCACAGATCACTGTACAAGCCGAACACCTTAGTATACATTTCCAAAACCCGTATCTTGTGAAGGACAACGGCTTCTCCAACAGGTTGAAGGGAAAAAGGTCATTTTTCTTTTCTTTTTTTTTTCTTTTTAAAAAAGAACAGAGAAAATATATGGAAGGAAAAGTTCAAAATGATTTGATGTACCTAAATGTTGTCGAGCTCCTCTGCCTAGTTCCCGTTTCCAGAGCCAAGGCTCTCATAGAACAAAATGTACCCATGGTCTGTGTTACTGGAATACTCCTGTGCTGAGCCAAAGAATGTCTGCACAGCAGATTCATCGATCATCTCAACATTTTCATCATCAAAAAATAACCAGTGGTTATGACTTTTCACGAGGCTGACATAATGTCCGTGGTTAGGCCCACTGCCAACATGAACCACCACTGCAAATAGGGAATACTCAACATCTGCATCTTCCACAGTGTTGCCCAGCTTCAGCTCGAGAGGAAAGACAACCCTGTAAGACAGCTTCTTGTTTCGACCCAGTTGTTCAATGTACTTGAACCGCTTAAGATGGATGACCAATATGTGAGGTGGTTTCTTTATTTTCATCCTTTTCTGAGCTTCTTGCAAACTAATATCATAATAAAGTTGTATCAGATATGAATGGAAATGAAGAACACTTGTACACACCATTGACCTAAAGGGCAATAAAATAACTTTAAGACGCCAGAAGGAAAAATGTCAGTTATCAAGTCAAGAAGATCCTGGTATGCATTCTCTAACAACACCAGTCACAGCCATAAACCAGATTGCAACAAACACAACAGTATTTTAAGTATGTCTAAGTAAAAGCTGCAGCATTACTGCTAATATTATAAAACATATAGCAATGTATCCATTCTGTATGAAAAGTAGATCAAATCATCAAATTAACCATAAACTAAATTCAATATTGCAGTAATTCAACATTGATGCTACATCTTCACAGATATTTCATTTCATTCTTGCAAACAAGCAGCAAAATAGTTGTAATTGATCCTTTGCCTTCTCAGAGTACTCAAGGAACCATTTAACAGTTAATGTCATAAACGTATTATGAGTGTAAGGTATGAAAAACAAAAATAGGGCACATAAGTAAAAGCTATTCACCTGCAGCACTTGTCACAAAAAAATTTGTCTTCAGCATTTAGAGTCTCAGTGGAGCTGAAGTTTTTCAAACAGCTTGTGATCGAACTGTTCTGCTCAATATCAAGGCTCAAGTCAAAAAATGTTTCATCCCTAGCTGTCACTGTTTCACAACGTAAGCACCTTGTCTCATTGGTGAGTATGCCCTGATCAGATCAGTTTACAATTATTATTTGTCAGAAGTAGGAGAACAACTTATTTTGTGGCCACTGAAGAGAAGGTATTTCCCAATCAAGGAAGACTACTACACGCGCACACGTGCATAGAATAATAGAGACCCAGAATAGAATAACGGATAGCATGATTATTTCCACAAAATTACTGGTCAAAACCACTGCGAAAAGAGAACAGAAAATGTGATTTGATCCAATTTATCAATTGCCATTTATGCTCCCATGTTTTGCCACAAGCTACATGCTAATATGAAAACATTACATTGGTAGAGATGGTCACCTGAAAATTTTTGTGCACCCATGTAACTAAAGGTTCCTTTTTAGTGCCATTAGCTAAACCGTTCTTAGGTACATTTCCAGGATCAGAAGGGGGTGAGGTCTCTTGATCACTTTTTGCAGCCTGTGCCTCTTTCTCCAAAATGTCCACAAGTTCATTTAACAAAAAGTTCAAGAATTCGTGTGCATCCTAGCAAAAAAAGAAGAAAGAGAAGATCCATGTCGACAAAATGCAGAAACATAATATAACCAACACTAAATTCGGCTAAACAGACAAAATAAACAAATAATGCAAGATAAAGTGAAACAGAAAGTTATGAAGAAAAAGCTATCCACTGATATTAGGGGCAAAAAAGATATCCACTGACCAACTGGAGAAAAACAACCTCATTGGGATGTACATTTTGTCATAACTCAAAAAACAACCTTACTCAATCATTTCTGTGAAATAAACATCTAACATTGGTCTCTCCCCCCCCCCCCAAAAAAAAAAAAAGGCCAAAGAACCACAACGCTAATCATCATTTGGCATGTAGGAGTAGGACCAACATTTTTAGATGTCTTTACATGCTTTAAGTGGTATGTATGACTTGGCAAAAAAAAAAAAAGAAGCAGAAAATATTCCAATGGGCGCGCGCACGTAACAGTCAATGAAAATGGCAATTAACACGCACACATTTTCAATCCAATAGGCATGCACACACATATATATCACATACTCCTATTCTTTATTTTCCTTCCTTTTTAAAAGAAATAGAGTGGAAATATTAAAACAATAACACTTCAACTAATGATCCGCAAACTGAGCATTTAGTACTTCCCAACTTTGCCTCATGGAAACCTTAAACACAGATCATAGCATCTAAAGTGAGCGGCCATTATTTGAATCAGCAGCAACATAATATAAAGGGCATAACTCTATGCATACAATCTTTCCATAAGCATAGACAAACACAAAAACATTTACAATGACACAAGGCCTATAAAAGCATGTACAATAACACAATGCATATGACCCTTCCCCTCCATTGGAATTTCAAACTTCTAGAATCACCGCTTTCTTCACAGAAAGCTTCATCTTGACGAATTAAAGACATACCTGGTGCATATAGCTTCGGAAGAGTTCATTCTGTTTCTTTAACCTCTGCACAAATCGTTTGGGAGCAATGACACCTGTTTTCTTCTTCTGGGAAGTTATCTACACCCAAAGAAATAGCATATATGTTAAGCAAACAACCATGAAGGAATAATATATACACTTGGTGAGCATGACCCACGATATCATTGCAAGCGAGAGTCAAAGCACCGAACACATCAGCATGTAGAACTCCAGCTTTTGAGTGCATAATTATTCAATGTACAATAAGAAGTTTCAAATTATGACTAATATATGACTGTATGTCGGCCAATATCAGTAAAGATGACTACATTTTACCAATCCAAGAATTTGAAACTGCATGCAAGCATGATAAAATATCTCAGTTAAGTCACAAGACCCCTCACAATTTGTATTAACATGAGGCATAGCATGGCATGGCAAGAACTTCCGGAAATGATTTCAGACCCTAAGGACCCTTACCAACTGATATTTAAGACAAACGAAGACAACCGCTCAAATGCATCAAAAGTCAAGATATCAATTCTTTCAGATGATCACTGTGGCAGCAAAATCATGCCAAGTTAGGGAACCCAGAGGCTCTTTGGGAAGACAGTTCACACACCACAGATACAATTGTTGGGAACAATACAAACTCTCTAATAGTATACCATGCCTCGGTCAATTTTATATCAAGAAAAATCACGCAAATGACCACAGGAAATGTCCAAAATCTAGATTCATTACCTGAGAAAATAAGTCTGCTAAGCAAGTTAAAAGATTTTCTTCTGCATCTCCCGTGGTTTTATTATTTCCATAATACTCTAGCAATTGTTCACGAAATGGAACACAAAAGTAAAGTGCCTGAAGAAAGGGGAACAAAAGTGACTTGGTGGTGAAGAACCAGAATAAAAACCATGAAACATATAAAACACACATTTTCCAGTACTGTCAGTAAATATGTTTAATGCATTTTTATAAATGTATTCTTAGCATGGTAATGGTTTCTCTTGTGCATAAATATTACCACATTGAAATATGCACCAGAAGATTTAGGCACCATTTATTCTTATTAATTTTTTTTTTTGAATTTAAAAAAGGGTTTCCCATTTTGATACTTAGAGCACAAAAGGTTTTTTAACTCTCCCAATAAATATGCTTCCCGGAATTCGAACTTATGTTCTCCTACCAACAGCTTGTTGGTTTATTCTTATTAGTTATTACTAGAATAGAATATCAACAATGAAAAAAAATACAGAAAACCTGAAATGTTATCAGAAGAATTTTTCTTAACAAAATAACTAGACAGAGACAATATTATACATCAGAAAACTAGTAAATTAACAAGACAACTACTAGTATCTAAACAGAATTTTACAGCCTGAAGATAACCATTCAAAAGTCATAGATCATGTTAAACATGTTTCTATATATTCTACACAAAACACGTTTCATGTGTATTGGGTAGAATATGATGAATGAGTTGTATTATTTATAGTTTGTAAATAGTGTGGCTTTTAAATTTTATTATACATATTGATTTGGAGACAGTAATGATTGATTTTATCATATATTGATATACTGATGTTGATGCCTGACAGCTTCAATATTCTCGTGCCTTCTCTGATAGGCAAGCCAAATAATTATTTTTGCTATTTATTGAGCTAAGTTAAATACAGCAGAAATAAACTAGTTACATGAAATTCAGCAAGGAAAAGAAAATAGGAAACAAACAAACGTTTATTTCACAAAGTTCGACTGCATAACAAAATCAGAAGAAAAACAAACCGGGGAAATGGGGTGGGAAAAAAAGTTGATACTTCCATTGCAATAACGGAAATTCAGAAATGACTAGAAGAAAATTCACATATCAATGGTCAATCGTTATAGTATTTACTTTTCATCCCACCAAAAAAAAAAAATCATTTGTCCAGCCATGCGCTAGGCAATTTAGCTGAACAGCTCAACTTAAAGCAAAAGTTTTAACAGTGACTTCCCTTTAGTAGGATATGCAGCTGCAATATTATTTTCACAGCTCACAGGATCAGTCCATATTATCGATATCCCAGGAAACAAAAATGCAAATTCACTATCTTTCCGAAGGAATTCAATGCTTCTAATATAAACGATTTTATGCAGAACACACACAGCATAGATTGATGACCTGCAAAACGCTGTTGCAGTAACAAGTATTGCCAAAGTTCTCAAGCCCAAAGTAACGCTCGCCTTCAGGAAACTGGTCGCCAAGAGCTTTCTCGAGCTTGGAACCTGTGGCACCCATCAGCTCGTCACCGATCACAGAAACTCCGATCTTTATCTGGTTCAACTCCGCGATTCGCACGCCATCAAAGGCTCAATGACCGTTTCTCCCGCCTGCGTTTCTTCGAGTCGTTAAGATTTTATTGCCTGTGAACGTAATGGATTTCGGTTTTCTGGTGTTAGAGCGGCATCAAGGGTTTTCGTTCATTCAAGAGAGAAAGAACGAAGGAAACAGAGGAAATCACAAATGGAAGATTGATTTTACAAAATCAAAGAAACACGAGATATAAGCATTACGGACGGATTACAGACGACCCACTACTTAATCGCTGGGACATGATCCCACTTCCCACATCACGCGTGCCAAAAGCCAACTTGTATGACCTTCGAAGTTCAAGCAGATCCGCTTCAATTAAGGTAGTAACCAAGTCTAATCCAGTTTTAGTTTTAATTCAGTTGGATTAAGTTGCTACCTCCATCTAGTTTATTAATTTAAATAGGTTAAAAAAATTATTTAAATTAGTTATTTGTAATAAATAAATATATTTTGTTAAAAATATAGTTACTAATTAAATATATTAGTTAAAACTGCTATTATAAAGAGAACTATTTTAAAAATAAATAAATAAATATGATATTTTATATTTAAAACCAAAATAAAAATTAAACAGATACAGTAATATGTAGCACCAAGACTAGCTAATGCAAAAAATTTCTTCGTTTATTTTTTAATAAAAATGTTTTACTCCCTCCATCTCCTTTTATAACAAACAATTCTGAAAATAAAAAATAAATCCTCTTTCTTTATTTGAAATTTGAAATTAGTTTTTTATTTTTATTCCATTAAATATATGTCACTTATTATCTTTCTACAATAAATTTTGAGTTAAGATGTATCTAGCATCTCAAAATATTTTTTCGAGTACATTTAGCACCTTAAAGTATTTTGTAGTATATCCGATCAGTACCCTAAAGTATTTTTCTTCCTTAAGTATATCCAACACGCTGAATCCAGTGCCTCAACGTGTTTTTTTTAGGTATATCCAGCATCCAAAAATTTTTTGGTGCATCCAGTATCAAGACAAAACAAAAACACTTTAGGATGTTGGACGCATTTAAAAAATACTCCCCGGTACTACATGCACCACAAAATACTTCGAAATGCTAGATATATCCAAAAAAATATTTTACAGTATAAGGTATACCTTAATCTAAAAATTTTTGTTTATTATCTCTCATATACTCTCTTACAAATAATTGTATAATAAAAAATATGTATATATCTTATATATTTATTATTTTTTAACTAATATTTTGAATTACATGATTTGATAGTTGTTTCTTATAATAAAAAAAGTGAAAAAAATATAAAGTAACTATAGATAACATGACTTGTCTTTAAACTAAACAAAAAGGGTGCTTCGAAAAGATAGATTGATTTCTTATAGAGCTAAAGTGTAAATTTATTTTGAAAATTTTTATTTGAGAGTTGTGGCCATTCAAAATTTTTGTGTGTGTAAATTTTCTTCAAAAATTTAAAATCATGATAATTTTACTTCATACTATTAAAAATGTTAACGGTTAATGTTACTATTTTAACAGTTAACGTTAATCTTTTAACGCTATGAGATAAAATTATGACAATTTTAAATTTACAGAATAAATTTATATCTAAAAAAAATTTGAGTACCCGTTACTTTTGAATGAAAACTTCCACAAATTTACACTACCCTTTCTTTAGTTGTTTATTTTCCTCCTTGTGTTTTGTGTATGATGAAAATGAAATTGTGACTATGTTTTCTTGTTCCTTATTGCAAGTCATGTAAAAAATTATTCCTCAAGTCTTAAATATAAAAAATATTTATTAGTATAATTTATATTAAAAATGAGTCTTATATTTAAAACTAAAAAAAAAGTATTAAATGAGGTTATCAATAAGATTAATTAAATACATGGAAGTGGGGCTGTAGGAGGTCTAGAAGTTGGGAATGAGCATTAGGTAAATGTATCATGTGTTGTTATTTTCGGGGCATACCATCTTTGAATAGAAAGGAATTAATTGTGTCTTCTTTCCAATTGTAGGTTATGGCCCAGAAATGTGTTAAAGCTTAGTCTTATCTTCCTATGAAATTGATGTTGGTTGAAATAATATTTTTTGGCCGACAAGTTGAAATAAATTGTTTGAGAACTTGCAATTTGTATAGATTCCTACTTTTTATATATGTTGCGTACGTTTTGTCATTATAAAGGCTTTTAAGTGGATACATAGAAGCACTTCCTAGAATGTGAGTATTAAAACTATGGAAGACATATACTGAAAATATAAAAAATATTAAAAATTAAGTTAAAGAATTTTAATTGAAGCTGGAAATCATGATTTTTTTAAAAATTTTAAAATTTCAAGATCATTAATTGTCATTAGTATTTTCAGAGTGTTTTTAAATATATTTTTTATATTATCAACTGATTTGACAAATCAATGTAAAATTTACTGAGTTAGATCTCAATTGGACTTGGCAAAAAAAAAAAAAATCTCAATTGGACAAGTGAATGAAAAAAACAGATTCTCAAACCTAAATGAATCAAAAGAAAAATCCTAATAAAAGTATATTTAACCCTCTTTTAAAATAAATAAGGGATAAGAAAAGAGAATAAAATAGAAAAGCAATATTTTATATGAGAAATAGAACAAAAAATTATGAATATTGAATTTAAAAAATTCAAAAAATAACAGCCACATATCTTGGTCCAAAGAGAACTTTCAAATATAATATTCATTATTCGTTTTTTCAAAAAAAAAAAAAGGAAAATACTTTCATCAATCTCATGCGCAGTTCGATCAATTTCTCCTTGTCCAACTTCAAGCACCTAGGCACTTGATTGACTGCCCAAAAGGCCACGCAATACTAGCGGTTGTACTTGATATAAAATCTTATTTAATTTTTATTTTTATTTTAAATATAAACTTTAATTTATTTTGTTTTTATATTTATGTATTTTTTTAAGATAGTTCTTCTAACAATAGTAATTCTAATTAATATATTTGATTAGTAAGGATATTTTAAGCAATGCAACACTTATTTATTACAAGTGACTAACTTAACTTTTTTTATTAATTTTCTCAAATTAGTCAATTAGTTCTTATAATTAGAGATAGCACGTAAGAAGGAAGGTTAAATTGGGTCGATTGTGTAGTTTTTGCCTTACTTTGGGGTAAATTGTAATTTGAACAAACCTGGACGCGAAATTGTAATGCACCAAAAGATGAGGAAGGTGGTCTGCGACTGGTCTTATCCGCATCCCCCGCGCTTTGCTAACGTAGAGCAGGAACAGCGAGGAGATAGGAGGGAGAGAAAATGTTGAATTCTTTAGGTTCACCCACAACTATATGCTGCCTTCCAAAAGCATGTTCTGGAATTCCGAAATCTTCCTTCAATGGCATTCAACTTCGCGGCATCCGCTCAATTCAACCATGTCTTCAGATGAAATCGTATCGACATCCTTCTTCTACAGTAGTAATGATGGCAAAGAGAGAGGAGGAATTGAAGGAAATTAGAGCTAAAACCACTGAAGAAATCAACGAAGAGGTTACTGATCTTAAGGGCGAGCTTCTCATGCTTCGGCTCCAGAAATCTGCTCGGAACGAGTTCAAGTCCAGCGAGTTCCGTCGGATGCGCAAGAGGGTATTGCTTTTTTCTATCTGTTTAATAGTTTGTTAGTTAAGGGAAAATGCTAAATAATTTTATGGTTTTTCTTATCCTCTTTGTGAATTGAAGACCTCCCTAGTTGCACACATGTAGTTTTTTGAACAATGAGATAGGATATTAATTGAGTACGCCGACTAAAAATTAAATGCCTCGTAAAATTGATAACTTGATATTAGGAAGCAATGGTGGATTTTTGCCTTCTTCGAACTAGAAATTTTAATGGCTTTTCTTCTCCCAAAAAAAAAAAAAAAGAAGCAATTGGGGAATTTTCGCCTAACTTCTTCAAATTTCGTTTTCTTTCAAGCATATCGAGGATGCTCACGAAAGATTCTAATTTTTTAAATCAAGTGTAACCGATGGGTATAGAGTAGGCAACTCCCCTCTACTTATGGTAACTATTGGCACGTGAGTGATCCTGTCTCATGCATGCATGCAAGACATCCCCAGTTGAGTTTCATTCATTCATTCATTCATTTTTATTTTTAAGGAGACTATTTAATCACAAGGTCATGATGCAAATTTTTACAATGTTTTGTCAGTGGTCCTAGTTTGATTTCATGGTTTAAAGATGAAACTATGCTCACTATCTTGAATTGGTAATGGGTGAAGTTATTTATATGGCAGAAGGACCTTCATATCACATTGACGCATCCATAGTTATGGCTTATTACTCTGCATCATCTCTTGTGGATTTCAGCCCTCTGTATTAGATTCTGAAAGGGAGGGGGAAAGATAGAAGACAGGTGACAACCACCGAAATAGGAGTTTTACTCACATGATGATGAAACTCTACCATCTTATTAATACCCAATAGGCGCTTCACACCAAGCATACTCAGTTCTTAGACATTGAGCCGACTAAGGGAAGGAAGAACCACAAGGAAGGAAAATCCGTTCTCTGACTTTCTGGAGGTCAGAGGCTCTCCTCAGCCAAATCCAGAACTCTTGCCTACCTCTTTTCTCTCGTTCTCACACCCAAAATACCCTCAACTCCCACTCCATTCTCTCTCTGCAGCTCATGCATAGTTACCACCCGTCAGAGTTAGTTATCTTGGAAGACCTGACTCACCCCATCCTCTTCCTTTTCATTTGTATTATTTCTGCTATATATCTGAGTGACCTGTGTCCCATTATCAAGATTGGGGTCATTGGTAATCAATGATGCTCTGAGAACTTCCACATGTTTTTAGGTGCCATAACTCAGAGATGCTCTGTACAAGAGGAATAGTCACAGCCATCCTCAAACTTGCTTAAAACTTGGTGCATTTGATGTGTCTAGCACTTGATGAATGGACTCCTGGGTGTGTTCTCATAACCTGCTGTAATGTGTTACCGCAGCATCCAGTGTATGTATGTCATTATTACCCATTTGGCCTTGTTATGCTGCAAAAGATTGATGTCTTTATTATATTCTATGCCACCCCTCTTGGATTTGAGTGGTCTCTGCCCTTCTTATGATTGACTCAGCTGAGCTGTTATAGGTCAATCTCATAATCTTTTATTTTTATATTTTATTCTTCAAGTTATAATCAACTTAGTGTCTAATGCTATCAAAATCACTATTTACCAGAAGTGAGCACAATGTTTAGATTATCTTGAAGTAAAGACCTCTTGCTGCTTTCTGTCTCTTGCTTGCACTTCTGGTTTTCTGATGTGGAGGGAAAGTTGGC